TCTAATATCACCAAACTATACTACCAACTATTATAACAAATCTCCTCTATCCAACAAAACCATTAAAAAAGATGCTATAAAATTGCTACTCAACTCAACTTCTTCCTCTTTTACTCTCTCATGCATTGAACAAAAAACAGAAAATGAGACAGAGAGTTGAGTACCTCAAAGTTTTGTATAGCTTTATTAGCTCTGATCCACTTTGTTTTATAAATCATCATCTTCTTTCATATATCCTGTGTTAGTTTTGTCTCTGTTAATCTGTTGTTTGGTAAAAGGATTGTGATCGCCGGCATTTTTGCTTGCAGCAGACACCTCTGATGCTCCTCACCCATCATCAGCTGCAAAGAATATGTTTTCAATCACTCTTAATACTATGCCGTCTATCTCTTCTGCTTCTGCTTCTGCTTCTGCTTCTGCTTCTTCTTCTTGCTCCTACAGCCTTCCTTGCCTGTTGAACCTGTCTTGTTGAAAATCAATAGTTCACCATTTCATGGAATTAACTCGCCGAATTACTTGTGGGGGTCGTCGCTTTTCTACCACAGGAATCACCTTCTCCATTAGCTGCGCCAGGAAAAAATCAGACCAGGATATATCATTACCATGTAAATACCTATGATGTAGTTTAACTTTGGACTTCGTCACCATGGAATCAAAACCAAAACGTTGAGCAAACAGATGAAGACAAGTATATGCATAAAAGTTTTTAAATTAATAAGGGTCGGTTTGGAACGACTTCCTAAATGGTTAAAAAAGCTCTTATGAAGGTCATTTCAAATAGACCCTATGTAAAAGCCCAAACCCAAGTCCACCGCTAGCAAATATTGTCCTTTCGGGTTTCCTCTCAAGGCTTTTAAAATGCGTTTGCTAGGGAGAAGTTTCTACAATTTTATAAAGAATGCTTCGGTCTCCTCCCAACCCATGTGGGATCTCACACCTAAGTAAATATATGCAAACAGCAAAAACAAAGAACCAAATAATCAAATCAACGACACCGAAATCATTTGCTATGAACCCCCCTAAACTACAAAAACTTACATCCTCGGTATTATACTAAAGGCCAAACTTAGCCTTAATTTTGCAAACTATATATAGATGAATCTTACATTACGACTTCTTTAATCAAAACAAATTTATGTAAGAAGCAGCATAATATTAATCTCTTATTCAACTTCCAGAACACCTTGATATTGCAGCACTTGATGAAGCTCACAGAACTGTTTTCTTTTTTATTCTTAGGAATAACTAAGACCTTTCTTTTTAGCCAGTGAATAATCAAAACTTGTAGTGAAAGATATTGTGGCTTTCTAGTTTCTAATGAACGCTAGTTATCCTTCGATGTACTATAAACTTCTTTCTAAGAGAAATTAGAAATCTAAAGAAGGCTAGACGATGGGAGATTGTCCATACAGAATTTTTCGTCACTTTTCAACAACAGAATTTTTAATCAACAAGAGGGCTGAAAGATAATATTCAACGCAAAAACTCTTTCATTACAGAATAACACTAGGATCAAAGTTTAAATCAATACCTGCTCGAACCTCTCTTTAGTCCTCTCAGCCTGCAAAAGAGAGAGAATTATGAAACGCTAATATGTAATCAACACAACTACAAACAGACAACAGTCTTCTGTTTACATGGCTACAAGTTTAAAGATCTACAACTCAGCGCAGAACCATAAAAACAAAATGAAAGAGAAAGGCAACACTTTCTTTCAAATTCATTAAAATTTCATGTACTGATTCTTGTGGGCAAATGAGGATTTTAACCTCCAATCTTGCCAATTACCGCTAAGCTAATTGGATTTTATCAAGAATTTTAAGCTCTAATCACCAATTTTAATCCTACTTTAATTACGCCTCCGAACACAGCAAACCAAGAATGCTCGGCACTAAATAATAAGTTTGATTGAAAATGATCCAGCGTTAGTCCTAATCAAACAAATGATTATTCAGTATGCATTGCTGTAAAATGGCTTATGATCTAATATATAAACTAATAACAAAAATATTAACATAAGAAAAAAGATTTGATGCAGCCCAATTGTAGTTAGATCGAGCTGAAAGACATAAACCGCAAGGATGATGAATTATTGATTCAATAACATGATAGAAATTCATTGAACCAATGTGTTTAAATTATATCCTATTTTGTTGTTGTTGGAAACTAAAAACAGGGAATTGGAGTGAAATTGATAAAGAGAAACTTCAGGGAGGTCTCAAGGATAAGGAAAATACAAAAAGAAAAAAGGAATCAAATGGAGGAAGAAAAGGCAAGGGTCCAACATATTATAAGGTCTCTTTGGATCAAAATAATGTATAGCTTGTAGCTTGCATAAGAAGAAAAGCAATCCCAGTGACACGTTCTGCATGAGGTTCTCAATTCGAATGGGGGCGGACCTGTCCGCTTCGCCCCTCACCCTATCGGTCTCGCAGCTTCGTTTTACAGATTCTCAAGGAACGCGATTAAAATTCGCAAGCAATTAAAAAAATAGATCCCAAATCCAGTGGAATAGAAAATTGATGTTCTCATGTGTATGAATATTTGGGGGTGGTGGGGGAAAAGAGTACCTTTTCCCTCAAAAGCCGCTCCTTCTCCTCCTCTAGTCTTACAGCTAACGATTCTAATTCCACTTGATAAGCCTGAGATCCCAAGACCAAAAAAATTCAAAAAGTACACTATCAAACACTTTATCACACCAACATATAGAATCAAACAAGAATTTGGAAATGAAAGTTGTTTATAAAGAGCAGATTCAGTCACCTGCTTCCGTTCCCTTGATCTTGCTGCAGACTCCCTATTCTTGATCATCCTCCTCTGTCTTTGCTCTGCAGCCTTATCTAAAGGTTCCAAAGCAGCTCGCCCTCTTTTGCCTCTCCCCCCACTTCCTCCACTACCGATCAAATCGACCCCATTAGCAAATCCAATAATGGATCCTTCGACCTTATCCAATGCCTGAAATGTGCTGGCCGGAATTGGATCAAACGAAAAAATCCCTCCACTCAGCCTCTCCGTCTGCGGCAATTTGACATCCTCAACAGGCATGACTCCAGTTCTCAAGAGATAATCCTCGAGGGTTATGAACTCGTCAGCAACCTCCTCCTTCAAGTCCTTCCTCTCACCAGAAACAATCTCCCTCCACACATCATCCACAGTTTTGGGCGCCGCACCGGAGGAAGTATTGTGATTGCTATCAATGACGGCAGAGGAATTAGTGGTGGTGGTGGTGGTGGTTGTTGTAGTCGTATTCATGGGAAGAGAAGAAGGGTTATGGGAATCAACAAGAGTAATCTGGGCATCCAAGAGAATGGACGACTCCGTGGGATTGGAATCGTACCCATTGCCAAGTAAGCCATCGACGGTCATTGAGCTACGACTATGGCTTCGATTGCGAGTTGGGATGTCATTATTCCTCAGATGATTTGAAAGAAATTGGGATCCTAAAAGAGAAGCAGAAGAGGAAGAAGAAGAAGAACCTCGCGATAGATCCGAATTTCGCGAATTGGAAGATGCCAGGAGCTTGTATGATGCCATTATGTTCGTCAAAATAGGCAAGGAATTCGCAGAGATTCTCTCGAAACTCGAGTGGGAATCTTTCTAGAGATAAAAACAAAATTTGGGATGAATTTATGACTACCTCTATCGATTTGGATTGTGCGCGGCAAGGTTTTTGTTTTGATCGCTTCCTGTTTTTTTGGCCTATGGTGGTTGATTTTGGTCTGTTCGACTATTGGCGCACAGAGGAAGAAAGATGGCGACCGAGAGCGCGTGAAGTAGACTGAATATATTTAATGAGCTAAAATTGACTGTCTGCCGGAGAGGACACGACCCACTAGAAGTGGCAAAATAAGTAGATTGTTAGGTCTCACGTTAATGGGAGAGTGAAACGAAACATTTCATAAAACTGTGAGACTGGTAACAATACATAATGGGTCGTAATGGGTCGCTAGGTCCCAAGGGATGGATTGTTAGATCCCACTTTGGTTGAAGAAAAGAACGAAGCATTCCCTTATAAAGGTAAAACTATAAGACCGACAATAACAATCAGATGATATCTATTGACAGCAAACTTACGCGGTTATATTTATGTTTTGTGTTTTAGATTTTATTATATATAAATAAATAAATAAATAAAAGTAAGGTGAGAAGGGATTTATGTTTTTTTAAAATTTAAGATCGGTTTAAATATTAAAATTAGATTTAAATGTACAATTTATTTGTCATATCTACCCATATCAAAATTAAATTCAATAAATAATACACAATTTATTATTGTTTGTTGGGCTTTGTAATATCATTAATTGCTATTGCAATAATTAAGAAAATGACGTCTGCATTAGGAAAATTAAAATAAATACTTATAAAATAAAAATGGAAAATACTTCTAAAAATAACTTTACCTTTTATTTTAAAAAAATATTCATAATTAAAATTTTATTACCCTTTTATTATTAAAACAAATATAATTTCTTAATTTATTTACTATACCAATTTGTTTGGTAGGTAAAAAGCCTATAAATTATATTTAAATTAATTTTGATATTAACCGTGCCACCGCTACTATTTTCAAACATTTGATAAAATAATTAAAATATAAGATTTTAACTAATTGAATCATACTTAAATTAATAAATAATTGATTTTAAATTAATAATAACGAAATTATGTAATGATTAAATACTATTATATACAAATAAACTAAAATATTTATATATTTTTTTTTAAAGTTTGGAGGGATGGGAATTATTTAAAAATAAAAAAATAAATTTATGAGACTTATAAACCTTAAAATATTAATTTATATTTACTTAATTCAATGGTATAAATTAAATGATTAAGTTGTGTTTTGAGTTGAAAAAATGTTGTTCGAGTTAAAAAGAAATTAAAAAAAGGACGAAAATTAAATGGAAAAATAAAATAAAATAAAAATATAAAGATGAAGTGAAAATATTTAGGGAAAAAAGTTAGGGGTCGATTACTTAAACGAAGACGATAGAAATTGCACCTCAATTTTCGATTCTGATTCACTTTGGCCGACATTTGAGTTTTCCTTTTTTTCTTCAAGCACCAAACAGTTAGCGAAATCATGTTTCACGTGATCCATTACGAAGCTAATTGCGGGTTTCAGTTTATTGGGTTCGTTTTGGAGCCATAATTTCAGTACCAGAGACGCATAGAGCTAGACGAAAAGAGAGAATCCTCCGTGGGTGCCTTAAATTTCATTAAATTCTGTTCCTGTTATCTGTTTAATCAGAGAAGCGATTACGAAAGCAGAATTCTTACGTTCAAATGGATTTCTTTGACTTGTATGGCGCCAATATCTGTGCTTAATCCCTGTCACTGTCCTGCTTCTCGGAGTTGGTTTTCTGTGTATCTCTATAGTTCTGAGACTAAGGCGCAGCTCGTGTGAGTTCTTCACTGGCAGTGTAGTGGGTTAGTTTTCTTTTCCCATGTTTTTGGTCGCTAATATTGGCGGGTTGGTTTAAAATAGGCACCATGAACTTTCGTGTACGCATTAGACGAGGTTTGCTAGTCTTAGCTGCGAAGTACCGATGCTATTCTCTTTTGTTTCCAGCTCAAAGTGTGCTTAATTTAATGATTTGGGACTTTAATAATGTTGATTGAGACTTCTGGGATCGTGTGTTTCTTCTATTTGGGGCGTTCTTAACTGTGTCAAAGTTGAATTTGACCATGCTTCTGAAAATTTGGCAGAGGGAGCTAGCATTAGCAGCCTAGGAGTGAAGAAGGATGTGCTTGTGGCAAAGGGTGCACGTGGGCCTTTAGTCAGCAAGCATTTGCATGAAATTTTTTACTCGGAATCTATATGTGTAGCAGTTGAAACATATCCAATTCATCATTTATCACTTTTTAAGATCTTTTAGTCTCTTGAGTTCAAGAATGTTAGTTCCTCTACTTGAAGAGGTCAGTGTACAGCAATCTCAAGTTCTACTATTCTTTTTGGTTACATATATTTTGAACATTGAAACTATCACATCGAGTTGATATTTTAAGTATTAAGAAGTAGTTTATGTGAATTGCTTGATCACGCTTTGATGAACTTAGTTTGTTATATATATGTGTAATACGTAATGTATAGTAGAAGTCCTAGGTCATTAAGAGTTCTTCAAATACAGTAGGCCTCAAACTTAACTTTAGGTGCTGCCAACTTGAGCAAAATTCAATTGATTAAGGCGTATAGTCCCCAATCCTACTCGTTGGACTTAGACTTTTGGCCTTCCAAGTATATTATTGTTATATTGCCTACAACACAAAGTGTTGACCTTGATAATTGGCGACCATCGATAACAACACGTTCGTAAAATTTTTCTTTCAGCAAGTTGTTAACATATAAGCTTCTGGTTTAGTCCATGTTCTGGACTTCATGTATTCTACCGTTATTTTTATTTTTATTTTGTTTTTTTATGTGTCTATAAATTATTTCATTTATTTGCACTTTGATATGTAAAAATTATAATGTTCAGGTGCTGAATAATTTTCATGTTAGTGTAAATCTACTAACATCATGTTTATGCATGAAAATGATGACTAATAATGATTATTCTGGGATTACTTGAAGAATGTTTTACTTGGTATCCAATATTTCAAACAATTTGTATAACTTTTTCTCTGGATGATCTTTTCTAGAGTATCTAGTGATATTTTCAGAAAAATGAAATCATTGAAATTTTTGTTACTAATTATATTTATATCCTAGGATATCTGACAACAGTAGCTAAATTTTCAAATGCTGTGCTGAGAATTGGAAGTAAACAATTTAATTTGGCTGCACCTCCAAGAACTTGCTTTGTTTTGTTTTTTTTTTTTTTTTTTTTTCC